TGGTCATCCATTCTGTTCCAATAATCTTTTAGACACAAATCACTGTGCCCCTATAGTCATTTCTCTGTTTCCTTAATTAAGTTTCGATCAATGACTGTCAGTATGTAAACTGCTTGTACTTGCTCGACATGCAGGAAGTACTTGCCCATTAGCATCCTCCATTGATTTTAAAGAGCTTAACTTAAAACTGATTGGAAGCTTTGAGCTACTTCAGAGCACTGCTTTTCCAACAACAACACCTACACTGGCAAGTATCAGGACCCAGTGCAATAATGTTTCTTTAAAAACCATATAAATAAAAAAAAATCTGTTGTGTTGATTTTAGCCATTTTTTCAGTTGCCTTTAAAAAATAAATAAATAATAAAAAAAAATACAGTTAAAAATGCCAGATACCCTTTATATTGTGTGAACATCTCATGATCAAAGATAATTACTTTCATTATTTTTTAGCTATACTTTGCAGTTTGGTGCTGTCATTTGTGAGGCTACAGATGACATCAGCATGCTATCATAGAAGTTCTTTTTCACTTCTGTTGTTTTGCTGTATTCGGCATATTGAGCAGGATGTCATATTTTCAAGAGGAATCAAACCTGTAATTGTTGATATTCGACATGAACAGTGATTATAAATCATTTGTCTAACATCCCTTGTAGATACCAGCTGACATCTCCACTCTGCTGCTGCTCAAACTGCTCGATCGCGTCTGTACTGACCAGACTGTTTAATCACGATTTCTGATTTTCATTAGTATTTAAAAAGTCTTAGTTTTGGACACTGATGTTTTTTTTCCTGCCAAAATTTTCTGTCATTTTTCTCTTCTGGTTGCAAACTGAACAGATTTCAGCCACCAACAGTTTTCAGCAACTATTTTTGACCATTTTTGGCTGAGAACAGTTGGTGGCTGAAATCTTGGTGCATCCCTAATTAATGTACATTAAATCATATCATCACACAATTGATATTATTTTAGGGCCCATATCCTACATTTTTCATATATTTTTTTTTCTACTCAGGTCCACTTATAATTCTTCTGTGGTTTTATGTACCAAAAATAGTGGTAATTCATTTTTACATGACCATTTTTCCAACCTCTCTTGATCCCTTAAAATTAAACAGTATGTTTTTTGTTATCGTACCTTTAAGACTGATGTATGTCAATGAGCTCTGTTCTTATTGGCTGCCCTGTGTTGTGCCTCATTCAAAAAGCAGTCCAGGTCGAAACACTCCTTATAACTTTAGTGCAAATGGGTGAGGCCAAACTGCTGTATATATTTAAATACACTGGGTTTTCATGATATCACTTTGCTTATATGGCTTCCTTGGTCTGAGGTGTCAGTGGAACACTTTGTGTTTATATACTATATCAAACTCATTTATTTCAGAAAAGCAAGTAAAATTTAGTTTTTCATGATATGAACACTTTAACATTAAGCACATTTCATGCATCTTCTACAAAGTTACCATTTTGGAAATATGCACGATGTGCGAAATACAGGGGCCTGAGGGGTCCGGGGCCCCCTAATTAACCTCTTGGACCCCCTGACACACAGACTAGCAACTGAAACTATGCTTAGGATACCTCTGAAAAACTTTACAGTACACCGTAGCATATTTGTAAATATATAAACCTGCCTAATTTCTGAAGAGATTAGTAGAAAGAGTGAATTGTTACTCACTGCTCAGACCGAATCTCAATTAATGTGTGGAGCATTTCCAAGAGAAGACTTGTTAAATCAAACATTTCTTGCCACTGAAGCTTGCATCAGCACCACTATGGTGAGTGAGTTAGCATGGGACCCCCCCGAATACCAGAGGGTATTTTTCACACTAGTAGTAACAGTAAAGCAGCAGCTGTGCTTTTGTGTAGTGGTCTACTGCTCACAGAATGTGCACAACCATATGTTACGCCGACCATCTTGAGTTATATTTGCTATTTAATGCAAAAAGCCATCATATCTACACTTATCAGAAGGCAAGCCACTTTTATTCCAAGACTGTAAGACCTTACTCTTAGGCATGGCTTTCTCTTCTCTCTGGGGACTAACACTATTCTGTTCCTCCACCGCTTTTTCAAAAGCTGCTTATTAACAGCGCTGCGCGCAATTGTTGGTGCCAAGTGAAGAGCACAGCAGAAAACTCCACATGCTAAGAATCATCAGACGGCACCAGCTGGGATCACCATGCATGTCACTTGGCCCCTAGAGCACAGTCTATCCAGCCCTGATGCAAGACACAGCACTGCTTTTGAAAGGAGAGGATCAGTGGGGCTTGGAAATAACAGCCGCTTGGGTTTGCTGGGCACAAAGCACTAGACAATCAGAGGAATACAGCTATCCTCTCCTCACCATGGGCTCATTGCCACACCACTGGTGAATAAGCGGGAGCCAGATTGTCAATCTCCGACACCCTCCTTAGCAGCTCAAGATGGTGCACGTCTATGCCCAGCATGAGCTCCCACAGGATGTGACTCTGAGTCAGAAATGCTGGTTTAAGAATTTTCTTTCTTCTCTCTTTTTTTTTTTTAAACTGACTTTATTGCTCTCTAAATCTTTCCCCATCCTAGCCCACCCATTTTTGGACAACATAATCCTTAGGGGGGAAAAAAAGGATAAAACCAAAATAAATAAAGTATAATAAAGTATAAGCTCATCGTCCTGCTGTAATCATAAAAGTTAATGCGCTGTCGCTGACCTACAATGACCCTGGTCACACAGGTGTCCCATAAAGAGCTTATATATTCCATATAAAGAAGCATGGTATATTTTCTGATTGCTCATAGATGGCAGGAGAAATAATCTCCATGACCTGACCTAGACTCTGACATGGTAATAAATTCCATCTAAGCACCATGACTCAGCATCACTGTTTCCACTATCCTTCACTGCAGCACTGCTAATGCAGCCTGTTTAAAATACTGACACATTTTATTTGCCTAAATTTCTCATTTACCTATTAGATTGAAAGTATTCTAGCCATAATAGTTGAATCCTCTGCTTTAGAGATAAAAAGTTCCAAGTTCATCTGCAGCGGGAAGCAAAAATGTATAGAAACACAGCAGTGAAAGGAGCGTAAAGCAATAAAATAGTTTCATATTAGTTATGAATTACATGTATTCTGTTCATTATCAGGTCCTATATTGAGAAGGAAATAACTGGACAACTGTTGGAGGATAAATACTGTGTGACTGTATTAATGTTATCTCAAACTATGCTTTTCTAAGCATATTGTGGATATCATCAGTGCTTTAAGAATACTAACCACCTGCATGTTTCATTAGAATAAGAACAATTAGGCCTGTTTAACTGGATTTAATACAGTGCAGTATGAAAAAAAAATCACTGTATTCACCGTTTTTGATTCTTTTTGTTTTTAAATGTGGCACTAATGCATTTTTTTTCCTCTCTATTACAACTTCCCAGAAAAAAAAATACATTTTGTGATGCATATCATCTGTCATGAAAATGTATTGAAGTATCATGATACATTCTTGCCATATCAACCACCTCTACACTATATATAAAGCAATTCTGCCATCTTCCATAATGCCCCATAAAAGCCTATGGGACATTATAGCTTACTTGGGGTACATATTTAACGAAAAGATTACAATATATTTTTATTACCATCATTATTTTAATAATAACACAACAACAATATCAGAAAAAGAGCTGATATAATGTTAAAGGGGAACTTCACTGATTTTTCAACATTTCTGCATTATTAAATGGTTAACATGTCAACAGAATCATTCAGAGTGGTTTAGTAGCTAGAGAACCTTACACAGTCAGAACTGTTCACAGTGGTGGTAATAGATACCAGGTGTCTAAGGAGTTTAACACCTCTACAAGCTCCCTCCTAGAACATGATAAACTACGTGAAACGGTTGAATACGCTGCCTGATGTCTGAGATACTGTTTTACAGTAGTTAACATCCATTTTTTTAATCCATTCATGGAGGGATACATGAAGGGTGTTGTAACACAAAAACTTTTTTTTCTAGGTTGACCATTATTTTACAATCATTGACTACATGTAAAAGGTCAGAAGACACACGTAGGTTCACTGGTGGTTTTGGTTAGTAAATAAAATGGCTATATTTGCACTGTAGAGATCCACCACTGCATAGAAATCTAAGTCTAAGTCTAAGTCTAAGTTTCTCTGCAAATGAACCATTTCACGTCAACCGTGCATGTCACTTCTTACCCCAATGCCAATGCGACTGACATGTCAGACAGTAATGAGTGAAAAGCAAAAATGCAAAACTACATAGCTGAGAAGCAAAAGTCTCCATTATAAAAAGAAGCAGTTGAACTCTTATGTGATTTCATTGTATTCTGAAGTTACTGACTTTCAAAATGAAAGCAGAACAAAAAGCAGAAGATGAATATGCACTGAAGTAAATCAATATCTCTGTCATCAACTGCCTGGACATTCTACCTTTGCTCAGGAACCGTGCAGTTCACATAAAATTCTGCATTTTCTAGAGCTGTTACTATGGTTTCTAGATCCGCTAACTGCCCAAGTGTACTTAAAGCAAACTGTGATTTCAACAGCTATAAGCATGATGCACCTGCATGTGCAGAGTCCTTAGCTCAGCAGTTCTTACAAATAACATCACATGATAAATGAGGCAACAACATGATAACCTGGACAATTAACCCATTTCTATTTTTTTTCAGGCACAGTAAAGCAAACCCTGGCCTGAATACAATAATGAAGATAATACACTGTGACTACACAAGCTGTCACTTTCTATTTGAGTGCCTGCAATATGTTTAAGCGTCATTACATTTACTCTAGAATTATAAAAACACAACTTCAAAATTACTGAATTACATAATTGCTAAGTTCTTATGAAAATGTTTAAATGAATTCAACATCAGAATATCTTAACATATATATTTATAATAGCACCTGTCAAGGTAAATTCCTGTGGCAAAAACAGGGAATTCCATTTAACATTAAAATGCAAAAATGTGAATGTGTGAGAAGCATTACCTGGAACAAAGCTCCCTTGTACGACCTCTTTGTATGCCCACCATCCCTCGTGAATTTTTGGATTTGGCTGAGCTGTAAGGCAAAGAAAAAAAGAAAATAGGTATCATTTGGCCTCAATGTCAGACAAACTACACCATTTCCAAGTATAGAGAATGAATTGGCCATTTCTGCTGGTTTCTCTATCATCGTAACCTCCTCAAAGTGAGGTCTAGACTAACACAGGAGTGTGGAAAGGGACAGAAGAACACATGCAGAACAAACAATGCTGGAATTGAAAATTCACCACTCTTCCTCAGGCATTAGTATGGAAATGAATCCTAGTGCACTGGGTAGACTTGACAAGAAATCGCTGATTAGAATAGGGATGTAGTTTATAATTGAGGTGACTGGGTAAAGATCCCACTACTAAAGGGGGTCACAGCCTGGAATTACAAGGCAAGGTTTTGGGATATTGCATTTTTTTTTTACACCTGAACTTCCTGAACCCTGCCTCTGAAAAACATGGCTTAATGGCAGGGCCAGAGGTGGCATGGAAGCCTTTTAATGGAAGTGGAGGTGGGTTAATCCTTCCAGCGAGGACGAGGACTAATGTAGGAGAGCAGTTCAATTTCACAAGGACAGAGGGGGTGGACACAGGGGCAAAAATGCTACCTCCACTGAGGATATCTATTGGAAAACCAGCTAAGGGAAACAGCACTTAAATGTGAAGAGCACAAAGGATTTCACCATCTACTTTACCTTGATGATTATCATATATAAACATCTTTAAGGTTTAACTATCTTAAGTCTGTACCTTGTGGTGTGTATTAAAGTATCTGTGTATTTTTGTACAGGCAATCATCTGTGTAGACCTGACAGAAACTCAAACATATTTAAGACTTCAAAGGATGCTACTGAAACTATAGCTGGGAACTGAAATGGATGCCGACTTCTTAATTATTGTGCTATGTTTAGCTTACAAGGAGTAAGATGCATCAAACTATAAAAGACTTCAGACACGTTCACTTCTACCTGCATCAGGTTTCACCAGTCGCATTAGCAAACCAACATTAGCTTGAGCAAGGCTGAAGTTGGTTTCCTAGCCACAGACTTGGGCGCAACAGTTTTTGAAAACAGCAGAGGAGAAGGCCAGGAAAAAAGTACAGTAAAGTAGAAAACCTGACTACTTAATACACTGAATTCTTGGCCCCATGATTGCAGCAATTATCATTCAGTGTTTTTGCTATATGAAGAACAGTACACAGTAAACACAGCAGGGTCATGTGCTGCTGTTTTCTCCCAAAGGGTCTAAAAGGGTCTGGTAAGTTTGATTTAAGCTCAGCAATATTCCTCTGTGCATTACGCAGTGACAAAACAATCGTAATGCATTCAGTACAGACTCAGTTGATGTAGTGATCTGGCATGTTCAACAGAAATTACAAGTGCATTGTGGGAGATTGTAGTTCACTCAAAATTTCTTTGGAATTTCATTTTAGAATGTAGACACTAAGAGAAAAATGGCCGATGTATTAAAGAGTGCCCTAAAATGCAAACAGCCATCTATTTTAGTCAGAGCCAGTGATAATCTGCTGAACGAAAACAGTGTGACATCACTTTCTGTAGCATGTGCTAAAAATTTTTTGAAAGATTTGAATATGTATATATAAATAATGAGCCAAACATGTGCTGTGCAGTGCATAAAATCATGCAGATACTGGCCAGCAGCTTCAGGTAACATTCACTTCAACTATCAGACTGGGGAAAACAATGTGATCTCAGTGATTTTAGTCGTTGCATAATTGTTGTTGCCAGACAGGCTGGTTTGAGTATTTCTATAACTGCTGATCTCCTGGGATTTTCAATACAACAGTTTCTAGAGCATACTCATAATGGTGCAATAAAGAAAAAACATCCAGTGAGCGGCAGTTCCACAGGCAGAAATGCCTTGTTGATGAGAGAGGTTAATAGAGAAAGGCCAGACTGGTGAAACATGAGGAAGATGGGCTACAACAGCAGAAGACCACATCATGTTCCACTTCTGTCAAGCTAAGAACAGACAGCTGGGGCTGCAGTCGGCACAGGCTCACCAAAACTGGACCGCTGAAGACGAGAAAAATGTAGCCTGGTCTGATGAACCTCAATTTCTGCTGAGGTACTCAGATGGTAGGATAAGAACTTGGTGCCTACAGCATGAATCTATGCATTCAACCTGTCTTGTGTCAGCAGTCCAGGATGATGGACGAGGTGTAACTGTGTGGGAAATGTTTTCTTGGCACACTTTGGATCTGTTAATACCAATCAATAATCGCTTAAATGCCACAGTGAGTGAGTATTGTTGCTGACCACGTACATCCCTTCATTGCCACAATTTACCCTTACAAGAGACTTATTTCCTTCTGATGTCTACTTCCAGCATGATAATGTCACAAAGCAAAAGTCATCACAAACTAGTTTCACGAACAGGACAATGAGTTCAGTGTTCCTCAGCAGCCTTCCCTGTCAGCAGATGTGAATCCAGTAGAACGCCTTTGGTACATGGTGGAATGGGCACCTGAAAAATCATGGACCAGAACCTCAAAGGAATGTTGCCAACATCTTGTAGAGTCAATGCCACAAAAATTGAGGCTGTTTTGAGATAGTATAGTGTTCCTAGTAAAGCGCTCAGTGAGTGTATCAGTTATTGTATTGGTTCCTAAGCTTACTTCTTTTTGGCAATAATTGTGTCGATGTAGCAGCTTATTTATGTGGAACCAATGTATATTTGTATATCAATCAAATTCAAAGCACTATTTTTTTCCCCTTCAATATATCGTCATCCAATAAAATTCAAATAAATGAGTTTAAAGTGTGAGGCTGCACTTCTATGCAAATTGGCCTTTCTATTAAACTGTGCAGCTTTTCCAATACACACAGTGTAAGCGAAGGGCTTTTGGAAAACTCATCTGCCATGTCCCCTCTTTCCATTTATGTAAGCCTGAAGCAAACTAAAACCACAGCACAGGGTAAAACCTGCAATTGAAATAGCATTGATTTCACAAGCACCAGACAGACAATGATGAACAACCTTCCTGCCTGTATTACAAGTAAAAACATTTTTTATTAAAGAGAATGATATTTGTCTTCTCTATCTCTCAGGTATTCTGTCAGGAAGTATCTCCGAGCAGAACCCATGGTGCGAGAGGCAATAACAATTCATCAGCCGTGTTCTCCTGAGGGGTTTGGGGCTAATAATGCAGGGGAGCTTTAGAGAAGCTCTGGGACAAGACAAAGACATCAAGCCATCTCTCACTCTGGGGAAAACAAAGCCTCGATACCTGCGGTTTAAAGTCACAATCATTAGTAGGGCTGACATCGAGACGAGATAGAAACGTGTGCTATCAATTGATCATTTTTGAGACAGCCAGCCTTACTCTGTCAAGATAATACATTTCTTGTTTAACAATATCAGCACACTCACTTTTAAGGTTTTGAGGGAGGTTGTGATGGATATTTTCAGGAAACATCAGAGACAGTGTGCACAGGTATGTGCATAAAAAGGCAGAATAGGTGTTCTGCTATATGTGCTGTCCTATATATACACACTCACAAAGTAATTTTATTAGGTACACTTACCTTAATCTACACTCACTGTCCATTTTATCAGCTCCACTTACCATAAAGGTGCACTTTGCAGTTCTACAGTTACAGACTGTAGTTAATCTGTTTCTCTGCATAATTTGTTACCACCACCTTTCCCTGTTCATCAGTGGTCAGGACCCTCAAGGTGCTGCTGGCTGGACCTTTATAAACAACTCCAGCAATATCTGATGAACAGGGTAAAGATATTAAAAAATTAACAAATTGTACAGAGAAACAGCTTAACTTCAATCTGTAATACTAAAACTAAGCAATATTTGATGAACAGGGTAAAGATATTAAAAAATTAACAAATTGTGCAGAGAAACAGTTTAACTTCAATCTTTGATACTACAACTAAAAAGTGCACCTACACAGAAAGAGGACCTGATAAAATAGAGTGTTTATCTTCTCGCTGCCCTTATCATGCAAAGATTTTGCACAACTGAGACCAATATGGAGAATCGCATGGAAATAAGACATCACATATTTAATTCTAATATCAATTTAAGCAGGCCAACTTCGTCCTCTTCCATTTCCCCACATAGCTTGGCTGCGGCCCAACATGACTTACTAGCATCAGCAAAACCGAGCACCTCAAATCCATAAAGTGAAAACTCAGGCTCAGGGGGCATAAGGGCACCCTGGATAGCTATAATGCCGTTAATTTTACCTGCCTGAGGCAAGAAATTTGACAACAAACAATTAGCATAAAGTCAGTAAAGGAAGCGAAAGCATCAGCAAAAGTCTGCAGTCAGGATGTGATGCTGACAGCTGCATCAAATTCACTCAGTCACACAACTAATCAAAGAGTGAATCACAAAGAAGCAATGACCCCACACTCCTAGCATTAAATCCAATCAGTTTCCATGATCTGTGATCTTAGCTGGATTTAAAAGCCTGAAATGACTTGCATCCAAATAAAAAAAGGCTAAAATGAAATAATGGAAGAATTAACCAGCTTAATAAGATAATTAAAGTGACTGATAATAAGATGATTACAATTATCGAATGCTCCGTTTGTTGCCACCTGAATGTTTTATAAATGGAGCGACTTCCTGGCAGCTGGCTTACCCGTGCATTATTCAGGGGCACGTAATCAAATGAATAAATGAGAGTGGTTCACAGCACAGAGGTAACAAACCTATTGAATGGCTGCAGAGTGAAGGTCAATAGATCAAAAACTAATTAACACACATTCTCAGATCAACATACTCCATGCAAAGACTCCCTACTTAATCTACACGGCCTTTAATGAAGAATTTGCAGAAACCATGGAACAAGCATTTCACAATTACATACTAAATATGCTGTGGTGGAGAGATATATACTGGAGGTATCAGCAGCATTAGTACTAATAATTAAAATTTAAATAAATAAATGAATTGATAGAGCTGTCCATGAGAAAAAGGCCAGATTTGCAACTTAAAGACCAAAAGCTCTGACATATCATCCCCTTCCTCACACAGACAAATAAA